ATTAAGTGTGTTATTGATTACTTAATGCTGTTTTTTTTATTATTAACTAAGGAACGGGTCATGTTCAACTTTTCAGCTGATTAGGCATGGCACCAACCAAGTATGGATGGGTAGGAAGCTCAATCCTTACCGGGTTAGCAAGTCTCGTTTTCTGATCCTATCACACAATTATACGATATCAAATTTATTTTTGCACGTACAAGCATCAAGGATGGAGAAAATAAAGATAATAATGCAAAAGAAGAAAACAATTATCATTATCACTTAAACTTTTAAGATTAACATTAGGATATTCAATTTTGCACCTAATTGAACTATACTTTTTAGGATTATATTAGGCTAATTTTCCGCAACACAAAAATCATAATTGTTGGCGTAAAAATGTCAGAAATTATCAACATATTTTCAATATTTTTGTTGTGGCAGATACCCGGCCCCTCCGAAAATAACTAAAAATTATTGTTCTTTCTTCCATTTGTTTACTTTTTTTTGACATAATTTAATTATGTAAAGAAAGATGTTTGGCCAAAATTTTAAAAATGATGGATAAATTTGATGGAAAATAATTTTAATGAAATTTAATATTCTTTTGATGAATAATAGACAGATAAACTTGTCAAAACAATGGTGTCATCTCATGAATATCTCTGCATGTTTATTACTCCTCTATTGGGATAATTATATACATAAATGAGGACTCTAGCTAGGTCCATTACAAATTAGCTGTCAATCAGCTATAGATAAGGAAGTGAAACAACCTGTTACTATTTATATTTAATATAAATCTCCTATAATTATGTCAATCTCCTATGACTATGCAAATAGTGAAATTAATTTATTTAATACAAATCTCCTATAATTATATAATTGTAATCAATGATAAAAATTTCAACAATTATACAACTCAACAAATATCATCTCATTTCAACAAAACTGATTACTGGTCATCTTCACAAAGAAGGATGATGTCCAACACGCTTATTGTTCTGCTCATTTTTTTGTGGAAATAATTTTTCTAAATGAGTTAGTTGGGGCATTTGTTTCTTCTTATTATGACTTTTTCGCCTCTTCGTTTAATAAAAAAAGATCAATGAAGGGTGAAAATGTGTAATATATTGAGGAGGAAAAAATATAAATAAATGAATATTTGCACAGAATATATATATATATATATATATATATATATATATATATATATATATATATATTTCTCAAGCAGATAAGTTTATCTCAGACTACCCTAAAACTACGTTATTTTATTTATTTATTTCCTTATATTAATTGATTCACCTTTGAATGGTTATGATTCCTTTTTTCTCTCTTTTCCTTTACCACCATTGATCCATCTTTATACGGTTATAATTTAGTAGCAGGAGATAAGATTATCTTAAGTAGCTTGAGAAACGATAAACCCTATATATAATATATATATATATATATATATATATATATATATGTATGAGGTAGGATCCTTTGACACCAGTGTCAAATTTCAAATTTGACACCTCATCTGAAAGCTATTAGATCAAAAAAGATCAACGACTATGATTTGCAAGCATGTGACACCGTTGATCTTTTTTAATCTAATGGCTCTCAGGTGAGATGTCAAATTTAAAATTTGACACTGGTGTCAAAGTATCATACCTCTATATATATATATATATATATATATATATATATATACCCACCTTCCCCTATGACCTATGAAACGGGCACCCTACCCTATGTTTAACAGTTAAAAAATGAACCCTCGTTTTTTCGACCGGAAATTTGATATTTAAAGTAAACAATGCAATAAATTTTCGGAAAGGAGGAGACTGGAAGCCTATAAATAATAGGAATGGCGAACTGGAACCTCATCCTTCAAAGGTTTGGTGTATATGTGTCCTATATATATATATATATATATATATATATATATATATATATATATATATATATATGAGTTTAGCGGATGTATAATGACTGCACCTAAGGATTGGTGTAGTCATATAAAATTACGTCGTTTTATAATGTGAAAGCATTAAATATGAGAAATCATAACCATACAAAAATGGAAATAAATATAAAACATTAAATGTGGGGATCATAACCATACAAAGTTGAAAATAAATATAATATTTCTATTTTCTACAATTAATTTTGAACCCAAACTTTCTTTATCCCAACCAAAATGACGTAGTTTTTATGTGACTGTACCAATGCTTATATGCAATCACATTGTAAATTATTTTGCCTATATATATATATATATATATATATATATATATATATATATATATATATATATGAATACAAGAGTGAGTGCCCAACCAAATGCAAGCAACGGCCATTTGCCTAACGCCCGCCCATCTGAGCACTACAAAATGCAATATATCCCAAACCCTAAAAGTTACTCTAATTTCTAATTAAGTATTGTGACGGGCAAGAGAAGCTTTTAAGTAAGAAATGGGAGAATGTTTAATCTTTAAGTAAATTTTTGTAACAGACTAACAGTCCTACTCAATTCAATTTAGGCAAAAAAAAGAGAGTTGGAATTTCCTTCCAAAAAGAGAGAGTTGGAATCCTAATTTGAGGGTACGTTTATTCATGACACAAGTTGGATAATTAATGCCTTTATCTCTTTTGAACAATCTACCAAAAAGATAATATGTTGATCTAATCAAAATAAATACGTAACACTCTCTTTCTTCCAAAAAAAAAAAGTTGCATGACAGGAAAATTTCATTTCATTTTTGGATCAATTACAATAATTGAGTACTAGTCAAATTTTAATCTTTAATTTTTTTAATAAGTCAAACTGATATGAAGGATATAGGTAATTACGCATAACATCATATAAGATGAAATTATTCTCGATTAATGCAAAAGATTAATTTAAAACACTTTTACTCCATATAGATTAGGTGTATAATTCTAAAAATATTTTAAAACTTGTCGTGTGAATGTGTTCGCTTGCGTAAACTTGCCAGTTCCATTACGGCATGCTTCTTGTGTCAACAACTTGAGCCAAATACCTAATACCATCATTAATTCATCTGGTAGCCAATGATTTAATTAGTTATTAAATTTTAGCCTCCTACAAATGTTTCCCGTTAAATATAATTTACTTTTCTCTTTTGAACATCATTAATTGAAGTTCATGTATGCTTATTATCCGAATGACATGTTTGATCTTTGCTGAATTAGTTCTTAATCATTCTAAAACACCAACTGATTGATTCATTGATTCGCAAGTCGCAAGATAAAATGTTATAATGAGTAGTGCATTATCTGCAATATTCTTAAGAGTAAATCATAATTATCCGTTTGATCATTAGTCTATTTATCATAATATACAAACATTTTGTTAGTTTTGTTTCAAACTTTATAATAAGGTACGCACACTCACCTAATCTTAAGTTACGATGACAAGCTAATACAACATCCCGAATAATGAATAGCTTTTTATTCAAATAGTATAAGAAAATTTCACAAAACACAAAGATAATAAATTTATAAGTTAAAATCTCAAAACAGATTAACCAATGCATAATCATTGACAATAAGTACTATAATATTTGTTAAATGATCCCAACAGTATCTTTTTCATTAAAACATTCTGTTAAATTACCTCAACATACCTTGTTTAGAGTTGGAGTTTGTATATTTTAACAAATAAAACAACTATAATACAGTTTTTTTCCCCCAGAATAAAATAAAGTTTATACCAGAAATTACTTAACGTTTAAGGCGAGGATTAGAAGTAACACTCGGGGTCATACATAATACCTCTCGGTAGCGGGTCTCTTCAACGCGCCTGCACACTTAGTTATTCATCACGCGCGAAGCAAACAGAATGACAAGCTCGGGGAATCAACTCACGCTCTGAAAGTGAAAGTGGCAGTGACATAGTTCTAGGTCACCTCGACGCCGTACCCAAATAAATACAGCATTTTAAGAAAACCATAACGAAAATTAAGTTTTTGTTTGGTAACATGCGAGGGAAATGGATTTTTTTACGTGTAATTTAATATGATTATGTTACGTGATAGGATCTTAATCATTGATAATTAAATCAACAGTAATAATTGTATAATTTCATATCCTTATATTTTTTCTCTTTCTTACATTGTCACAATTAACTCATCTATATATGATTGCGATTATCTCACAATGACATATGATCATGTTAACCAGCACATCAAAAAATCTACTCCCACATAATAGAGAAGCTGAATTATTGTTTGTTGACAGTGGAGAGAGAAAGAGAGAGTGAATCATTCAAGCAGTGATCCTCGCTCTCAGCGATTATTTTTCGAAATTTTTTTCTCTTCTAAAATCCAAAAAATAAAAATAAAAAAAAAGAATTTTTAATTGTCTAGCCATTTTCCTTTAAGTTTTTGTTTTTGTTTCTGTAAACATATTATATATTTGTGTGTGTGTTCCGTATTTCATCGTATAAATCTATGTAAACTGATGTTACAACCTTAAATTTTGCAACTCTAGTTCATTCCCGGTTTTGTCTTTTTCTCTCTCTAAGATTCTAGAGAGAGAGAGAGAGCGTGTGGGATCAGAGTGGTACAGCAGTTCTCTGATGAATGGTTGATTAATCTCTCAGCCTCATCCTTTTGACTTTCCAATTCATTTCCCCATTTCCCCTTTCGTTTCTCTTTCTGGGATTTTTCTTCTTCCCCTCAATTTGATGCTCCTTTTTTCGTTTTCACACGGGTGGTTCTCATTGGGAACAATTGTAGAAAAATAAAATCTTCAAAAGTTAGTTGTTTGTTTTGTCATAACTGTGTTCATCTTCGTGTGTGCCCGTCGACATGCTTATGATCCCCAAAAACACATAAACAAAGCAGGGTTGGGTTTACAGCAATGGTGAATGAGTTATGTTCATGGGAATAGTGATACAATCTTTTCCCAAGAATTTGCATCATCTTTGAAGGGTTTAACATAATCATGAAAGCAATTCTAGTTTGTGGATTTATTATGATCTTTTCTAAGAATCGTTTTAACAACAGTTTATGAGTCGCCAAGTTAAATCTTCAAAGTTTGGTTTTTTTCGTTTTACCAAATCAGATTTTATTTTTTAGTAATCATGGGTTGTGCTAATTCCAAGCAAAAGCGATGTAGGCATTGCAACGCTCCTTATTCGCCTGTTTCGAGAAGCTACTCAATGCATGTTCATCACCCTCCTCAAACCGAAGGGGACAGCTACCATGTTGTGGCACTCACTTCCACCACGTTGGGAAATCTCAAACTCAATTCCCCTGCCTCAAATTACCAGCTACCTCAAAATGTTGCTGGGAGTGGTGGCCATGATTTCATGTTTTCCAATGGCAAGGTCAGAGATAGTGAAAGTTTCAGGTTTGGTAATGGCAACTTAATCCAAAGGCAAGAGAATGAGAAGGAGAAGGAGAAGGAGAAGAATGAAGCATTATTGGAAAGCAAGAAAATACAAGAGTTTTCAATGGGGCTGATTGAGGCCAAGACTTGGTCCAATATGATTGAGCAAAAGTTACCAAAAGTTGTTCCCAAGACACCAATCAGAACACCACCTGGTGAACCAGAAACAATCAACACATGGGAACTCATGGAAGGCCTTGAAGATACCAGCCCTTTCCGTTCACCAAATCACTTCCGGAGCTTCTCTTTTGATGCCAATGGCGATTTTGGTGATGATCATGTTGTTAATGTTGATCCACCCAAATTGAGTGTTACTGCTTCTCCTAAACCCTTGTGGCTTCAGATGACAGATGAAGAATCAAAACTCAATCCTGTAATCTCAGATTTTGATCCTGAAGTGATTTCCTCATTCAGAAAGTCCTTACAACAGCTCTCTCCAGATAGCCCTTTTCACCTTCGATCAGCAACAACTGATGAAGAGAAACAAGGGACTAGAAAGGGGCTCTTATCTGAGGAAAAGAAGATAAAAGATGGTGATGTTGTTATGGATGTTAAGCTTGCCCCGCGTGGGAAGGAGAGGGTTGTTGTGTATTTCACAAGCCTACGAGGGGTAAGAAAGACTTATGAGGATTGCTGCCAAGTGATGCTGATTCTGAAAGGATTGGGAGTGAGGGTGGATGAGAGAGATGTATCCATGCATTCAGGGTTCAAGGAGGAGCTCAGGGAACTTATGGGAGATGGATTTGGTGGGGGTGGATTGCCAAGAGTGTTTGTTGGAAGTAATTACATTGGTGGAGCTGAGGAAATTCAGAGGCTGCATGAGGATGGGAAACTTGAGAAAATGTTGGGTTGTTGTGAGAAGATTGAGGATAGTGGTGGAAGTGAAGGTGGAGGAGTATGTGAGGCCTGTGGGGATATAAGGTTTGTTCCTTGTGAAACCTGTTCTGGAAGCTGTAAAATCTACTATGAAGGTGATGAAGATGAAGAAGAATACGATGGTGGTGAGGTGAGTGAGTATGGATTCCAGCGTTGCCCTGATTGCAATGAAAATGGACTAATTCGTTGCCCAATGTGCTGCAATGAAAATGGACTAGTTCCCACTTTCAGGTGACACTTAACAGAGGTACTTAGACAAAATTTTGAGTTTTATTCTTCAGGGTATTTTATTTTGAGAGATTTTGTTGTACAGTGAAGTTTTTGGTGTGTTGGATACTTAGTGAAGAGTGAATAACGTGTTCTAATCACTCCCTCTGCACAGCTAGTGCAGTTTGCTGCATAGTGTATACTTTTCATTTTCCTTTTTCAGAAAAGAAAGAAGGCTTGTATACAATTTCCTCTCTTGCAAAATTTAGAAGAAATGCAAAGAGAATTACATAGTTAGTTAGTAGCATTTTGCATTCTTTCACTTCATAATGTATTCTTCTTTTTACAATTTCGAAGTTGTAATGTTTGGATGTCATTACATTGTGGGGCTTGAATGCTTCCTAGGCCTAGAGTTGAACCTGCCCTTAGCTAATTACAGAATGCACTTGTGGATGGTGGGGTTTATGAACTCAATGCAATTACCATGCCTGTCCATCTTTATGCTACCAAAAGTTGGCCACTACACGAGTTAATATCATTATCAATTAGCTCACCTTTTCTAGCCCCTAATTTTATATTGGATTACAATTGCTTGGCTGCTGAAGAATCGTGATTTTCTTATTTGTTTTTAATTTCAAGTAATTTGTAAATGAAAGTTCTCTAAAGCACCATTCCATATTGTCCTTGTTATTTATAAGCTCAGGTTAAGTGGGGCATAAAATGGCATATTAGGTGGACATTGTCTTTGGTCAACTTCGGCGAGAAACGTGTTATTTAGTCAAATCGCGTTCTTTGGATCGAAAAGCACTTTATATGAATGTATCTCCACTATACTCCTTAAAAAAAATCTTATTTTTTTTAAAGAGAGCTTTTACAATTTCAACATAATAGACGATTTCTTCAAAAACCTATTCAAATGTTCAAGAGCACATAAGACATCTAAGTTAAAGAAGTTTCAAAAGAAGCAGTTATAGTTATTTATTATTCTCATTTAACATATATCTGTTTGCGTATCTTATTTTTTATTTTGCTCAACCATTTACGTTTGACTAAGAGGATTTTGTTTCTCATACTATTTCCCCGAGACTAATTTTTCAGTGTATAGTCAGTGGATCTTAATACTATTATAAATATGATTAAGTCTCAAAATAAAACTTAAAATTAGATAAGTACTTTTTAAGAGACATTTCTTCACCACACCCAAATCAAATTGCGAAATCAATCTATATATTCAAATTAGAATAATTTGAATCGGTTGGTTCGAATTACCGATCATCAAAGCAAGAAAACGACACTTCATAGGCGAAACGGTCCAAAACTGGAGACAAGAAGAATCACAAATTTTGACTTCAGGTATCACCACAGTATACTCTTCCAAAGGGGAGCTTGAAATTTGAACAAGCTTTTTAAGACTTTTTCTCATTGGTCATTACTGTGGGGTGCCACGTTTGAGTCCCCTAATTATGTGAAATAATTGAAATATTCATGGAATTTAGGATTAGAAATCCATGTTGTGCCATTTGCAAACGAATGCACCGCTAAGCAACACCTGAATGATACAAATCATTTGTGCCAAAGAAGCGAACTTTTTTTCCTTATCTACTTATGTCCTTTTCTAATCATCTGCATGTGTTCATGTAATAAATGGGCCTAGAGGCAAGAAAAGTCACAATGTGTTACATGTCCCTTGCCGTTTAATCAAAATCCTAATCCGTTTAGGTGGTTGGCGGTAGATGACAATTACAGTGCAGAAATGGTTGAAATGCCAATTGCTTATTTATGAGGAGGATAGTGTTAGTTGTAGAATACACAAAATATACATTTTTTTCGTACCATTTTTAAAAAATCAACTAACATTGTCAGTGACATAAACAGTATTGATTAGAAGGGGATCAGTGCATCATCACAAATTGTGTAGAGATTGACGTGAAAAATAATTCAAAAAAATGATTATAGTGTTTGCAAATACAACACTAAGAAATAAAACTAACAACATTCGGACAAATTTATCTTCATATTCTCCTCTTAGGCTTTAAAATGGACTCATTAGACCATTAAGAAAAAATAATTATACTGAAACTAAGGTATTATCAAATAATTATATGTGAATGAAGTTATACGAATAAAATTAGTAAAGAAATAATGTCAATGTACGAGAGAGAAAAAAAAACCAACCACTATACGACTTTGATTGCAACTTGCATATTGTTGTAGCCTTGTCAGGGACACATAAGGGGGAACCACAATACCCGTTCAACAAACCAAGCCCACGGATGATTGTGTTAACGTGACTTTTCATAGAACAACTTGCATTAATATGGTTATGTTTTCCTATTGGCATGGATCAAGTCCAATGAGAAAAAACAACATTCAAGTAAATGATATTATTATTGCACAAAACTAGGGCCGTTACGGCAAAGCAGTTGTTAGGTTGTTAGTTAAGAGAATGATATTTAGTGTGCAACTGAGATATGTTGGATGGGATGCCTATAAAAGCATAACAATCTGGTTGGCAGGGAATCAATCGCAGCATAAAAATATTAGAAAGTAGTTCACATGTTATTATGTAAATTGTTGATTGCTTATGTTTTTAATGTGACAACTAACAACCGTGTGTGTTAGGCAACGTGAAAAAAGTGTTGAATGCAACAAACTACTTACACCTGAAATTCATCACACCTTGTGTGGAACAAGTCAAGGCATTCAGTTGAGTGATTTTGCTATGAGCAAATCCAGGATCAAGTTGGAGGTGCCGTCTTTCATATGTCAATTAACATGCTCCAAAATTCAGACACAAGTTTAATTTTTTGCACATAAAACTAGAAACTCTAATACAATAGACAAGAAGAAACATAGGTGTTCTGATTTCTAAAAGCATACACAAACAAGTGGCTGCTGCTTACATAGGATCCTCCAAAACCAATGTTATGAACAATTGGACCAGATGAGTAGCTACACACGTGGAACAAGTTAAGGCCACATACCATAATACAGTATCAACAAAAAATTGTTCCTATTTGATTGTGTACAACAGAACATATTAGACAGAAGTTTACATTTGGAAGTTTCACTTCTTTGCATGTTGACCCAAATCAGCAGCTGCTTTGGCTGCACGATCCAACATATCTGAAACAAAGAGAGCTCCTTTTGCAAAGTAGCTGCTGTTGACAATAGCATTACCAGCTGTCATAGCTGCTTTCCCCGTAACTGTGGCCACGACTATAGCTGTTGTTCCTGTCACTGTTGCAGCTGATTTTGTGATGTCTGTAACATGATACTTCTCATCCACGGATTTAAAAGTTTCTATGCCTGAATTAATTGTATCTGTCAACCCAATTTTATTGCTGAGTTCAGCAACCTTGGCTGCTGCTGTAGATGATACATTGTGAGATTCATCAAAAGTTTTTGCCATCACAAATGCATCTTTGCCTAACACATATCCCTTAGCTACCATTGTTTTGACAACCTCCTGGGCCATAGTAATTGCTTCTCCAGGGGAAGACACAAACTTATCAATGTGAATATCCTGTCAAAGAGAACTTATCAATGGTTGACTCCAACAGTAACTCAGTATCTTAATCAAATTATGTATGTAGGACCATATTCTTCAGTCCAGCAATTTCAAGGTTGAGTAGTACTGAGACATCCTCATGGATTTGAGTTGCATTCATATCTTTCTTCTAATTTTATTGCTCTTTTTCTTTTCATTTTTTGGAGGAGACAAATGCAGGTCAAAAAAGCCCCTAGGAGGGAGACAAGAAATATAGGTAACTTACGCGAGAATCCAATTTTCCAAAACATAGCTTCGCCACATTTGAAAATTTGACAATGTTGCAGAAAAAGTATAGACTATTCTCCATGTTTCAAGTAACTTTTAATTTTTTTCATATTGTATAGCTTCTCATATGCAGCCTAGAGGATCAAAAGGATAACCTCAATTTTATATCATGGTTTATGAATATTTTTAAATATGTATAAAAAAACTTTTTTATCATTTTGCTCAAACTAAAAGCAATAGAGCTTTCTACCGAAGCATTTCAGGCATACTTGTGAGGTTGTAACACAGTCTTCAGGCCATGATGCATGACTGTTCCAATTATCGCAATCATCTACATAAGCTCCCCACCGTGAAATGGATATGCATTGGTCCAAAATCATGGATCCCTGAAATAGCATTTGACCAAAATATGCAGGTTAACAAACAATATTCAAGTAGGAACAATGCCAGATTACTGAATAGCTAATGTCCGACATGCAGACACGATACCGGAATAGATGGTCCATGCTTTGATTACAAATATTTATCTAGTGCACAATCAGGTGAAAAGAATGAAGAAATTTGTTATATGTTATGTTAATTCATGACATCCCACAGTAAGAGAGCAAGGAAGCAAGAGGATAAGCAACTTACATTCAGCAATAATGCAGTTTCCAAGGCATAAGCATCCCTAAAAGTCACATATGCAGTAGAAGCATATTCACCAGATCTGTGTCATGACAAAAGAGCAATTCTTCCTATTATTCCCAAGAATTCTTCATAGATTATAACTACAAAGTCAACTAACATTTGGATACTTAGGCCTTGCAACTTAAACGTGTACAATCTTTCTATTCAACAGCACTGTGAAATAAAGCGAAGGAACCCATTACCAACATCTTTAAAACATTCTATATCAGGATGCGAATTTTTAAGGATTGATTGTAAAGAACAAGTGTTGTGGCAATGACATTTAAGAAGAGAGATTTACAGCCTACTTAATTGGTCTCTGCAACAATTAGTAATGTGAAAGCTATTGACAAATTTATCCAATCCATAATTGACTAACAACGAAAAACTTTTATTTGAATAGTAGAAAATAATACATTGCAAAAAGGGCAATCTATTTTATTTCCAGATAAACTGAAGAAATTTTAACTACAAGACATTGTATAAAAGGAAGTTCAAATAAACTGGAATCTATCAAATATAAAGTTATGGAAATAGAATAAAAACTCCAAACAGTATTTTGAATACAGAATACAATTATTTCTCTTACAATTACCTAATTTCAAGGAGGCAGAACAATGTGAAGGATAGTAATATACCAATATTGATTCAGACATCTCTAAGAAATTCAATTCCTTGATGATCTACTTCATCACATTGTCTTGTCAGACAAATACTTCAATTGCTTTCGGTCTAGATTTGATAGCAGTATTGGTGAAGCACAAGCACCAAATGAATTTGAAGATTCCAATTCTTTTGGCATATCATTATGCTTGTAGGTCACCATGCTAATCTTAGTGAGGAGTTCATAAAAAAATAGCAGCACTGGTCTCATATCAAATAAGGTTGATTATCTGTAATACATACATACACACTTGTGCGTGCACACACATATATATGACTGCAAATCTAAATTTTGAAGATGTCAAGACTAAGTAAAATATTAATCCAATATGTAACCATAAATCAAGAACAAATTCAAAAGAATTGTAACTTTTGACATTTTAACAGTGCCATGGACATTAAACTCGAACCTAGTCACAGTTTAATTGCTAAATCCTATCACAATTTTCAATTTTGATATACAGGAATTTTATTAGTAAATAAGGCTAAGAAAGACTACCTTATCATTTCAACATGCTCAATCACACCACAGTAAGCAAAAAAATTGTGCACATCATTCTCTGTAGCTCTTGGGGATAAGCTTGTAACTTCGGCAGTGTAACCACCAGGATACATATTTGTCAAGTAACTCAAAGTCTAAAATCGGAAAAAAAAAAAAAAAAAAAGAACCAGATTCAACAAACCTGCAGAAAGCAATGCAAGTCAAAAATTTGACAACTGATTGGAGCAAAAGAGAGTGACATTTTGAGGATTATTTATGTCACTTCAGAAACTGATAATGAAAAGGCACAGGCTTGCCTTTCCCTTTTATTGCCCCATTAATAAGGCCATGCATTGATAGAACAAACAATGAAGACAAGCAGAATACAGTGAAGGATAGAAAACATTATCTATCATTTAGAAGCATTCACTTCATCTACCAAAGATACCGAATTCCAAAATATTTAGTGGTCCCCAACACATATCAGCCTCAGTTTCAGCACATGTATCAGCTCCTGATATGCATAGGAAGATCAAATTTTATCACAATTGAGAATGAAGCCAGCCCATCAACTGAACACAGGGATTTTTTTCACACTCCAACAACCAATGGAAACCAATCCAACTCTATCAACTTCCAAAATCCCAAACTGGGTTTGAATATCAAGGATCAAAAACCCCACATACAAAATTGAAAGAAGCAATGAAAATCACACAAATTAAAAGAAAAAGAAAAATAAAAAGAAAACTTTGATCCACAAGTGAGACACAGAACAAGAAAATCAAACTAAAAAATGACAAGACCAATATGATAAAACAAAAGGGGTTGAAGAAAGCAGTGTTATTGAAAGCAAAGTACCCCCAAAGAGCGTAGCAAGATTGAAATTGGTGAAAAAGGCGAGTGCTTTAGGTATCAGTTATAGTTGGTGAACTGAATCAGAGGAGCCTCAAAGAGGAAAGAGAGAGAGAACTAGAAGTCTAGAAGTGTGTGTTTGTGACGAAACTGAGCGCCTAACCAATCCAAACTGAGCGCCTAAAGGTGACTCTGGAATCCCACGCGCGTGTCATGTGTTTTGTGTAGTTGACGATGTTACATCACTCTTGCGCGTGATGCTATTTGTTATCCAAAGAGAGTATATTGAAATCAATTATGCTCGTTGGATTGATTTTTCTGAAATTCGATTGGCAGGGCATCTGGTTGGGTGACAAGGATTTCGGTGCCACATTTTAGGAAATATTTTTAGTGCAAGAAAGGGACTATAGTTAAAGACACTCTTGTAAAACTCGACGCCGGACCTGTCGAACGGGTCATTGGATCGGTTCGGGTCAAGTATTGAACTGGTCATGCATCAACTCGGTCAAATTTGGTGACTAGTAATCCAGTCGGGTCATGCATTAAAAAAAACTAAAAAATTAAAATTGTTTCATCCTTGTGAGAAAAAAAATGTAGAACTCATTTTAAAATTTTCTTATGATTTTATTTATTGGTATACTCTTCTACAATGACATCAAATTTCAGCTTTCAATACTGAATCAATTTGCTGAATAATAAATTAAGAGAATGTGACATATGTCATTTTAATGTAGTTGAATTTCAAAAATATGAGTTCAATGTTTATTGAGAAGTATGTTTACGGAGATTCTGAGTTGCAATTTAAATTGACATAGCAATAGCGTGCATTTTTATTTATTTATGCTTTATATTTTTGAGTTTATTTAGTGAATTTTTCTTAATTCATTTTAGATATGGTGATTATAATTGAATTTATATGTCCATATTTATACATATTTTTATGGGAAAAAAATTTCTGCAGTTAATGCAGATAAGTTATCTGCATTTGACGTCGTTTTGATATTGAAATCTTAAAAAATTATAAATATAGAGACTATTATAACACTAAAATAAACTAAAATTGCAAAAATACCATGATTTCCGCCCCAAAACGACGTCTGTAAGAACCAGCACCGTTAATTAAGGAATTTAATTAATAAATTATGAGAAAATAGGAAATGATTCTATAATTGACCCTAATAATTATTATGAGGCTTTAATAATTATAGTAAGTGAGTAATAATGCTGAAAGTCGCTTTTCGGAAGAAAAGTGAAGATACCGGTTCTGCTAGTCGCTATAAATGCGTAGCGAAAAAGTATCCCAAAAAATTATAATAAGTGCATGATAATTACTAGAATGATATGTAGGACTTGTAAAACGAGTTTCAAGTCCAAATAATGAGAACTGGTGCTAGAAACCGGTACTGGCTTTGAAAAGCGCGTACCGAAAAGGTGCTCAGAAAATTATAAGAAAAATATGATAATTCTTGAAAAAATGTGTAGTTTCAGATTCCAAAGTTTGGGATTAAAATGTTAAGCGTAGCAATTAAATTTAATATTGTGTATTAATTGGGTAAGTGGCTATAAATACTCTAATCATTGGGCACAAAACCCTAGACCAGATTTCCTACGTGCCTCCATATTCTGAAACACCTCCAGCCACCCTTTTGCCACCTTCTCCTCCTTTGTGGTGAGCCAAGGAGCTTCCTTTCTCCTTGGTTTCTTCTTCAAATACCTTAAGGCTTGTGAGAGCTTGCTTGGTGTGGGAGTGTGAGGGCTTTTCTGAGTTCTTGTCACTGTGAGTGAGGTGGAGAGGTTCTGAGTTGGTAAGTTGAGTGTGTAAGCCTTGGTTATGGCACTTTGAGGTCCAAGTGGTGACCTTTGGTGAGAAAGAACCAACCTTTGTGAAGGCATTTTCGTTTTCTGTACAAGTCAGAGTTTAGGAGCTGGTTGTGAGCTCCAAGAGCAACCCTTTGTCTCTGTTTTGGCTTGTGGTATGTTCATCACCTTTGATCTTGAGTCTTTTATGCTTAAAAATGGAACATTGATGCATGTAGAGGTTAAAAGGTGATAACTTAATGTTGGGGTTGGTCAAACACACCTAGAAATGCATGTTTAGGTGTTTAAAATCGGTAAAAATCCAACATTCGAAGGATATCTTCACGAAATGCATTTTCTGCATTCTGTCGTGAAATATCCGGATATCTGCCCGAGAAATATCCGGATATGGGATTTGGACATCCGGATATTAGATATCCGGATATGGGATTCTAGATATCCGGATATTGAATATCCGGATATGTCCAGTGAGATATTCAGATATTATATCCGGATATGGTCCCAAGGAATATCCAGATATTCTGGGATTTCGTAGAACAGTAGCTGTGCTGTATGTACAGTAGGCTATTGGGGGTTTGTGGACCTTAGATTGATGAAGTTGAACTTCTGTAATTAATGAACTAAGTCAGAATCGTTGTGATTAAGGGTTTATGGCTTGGTATGGAGCCTTAAGACGTAAAACGTAAGGAAATGCGTTGTCTTTAAGTTATATGCTTATGTTGCATTATTATTGATATAGTATTGGTCCATAACAGATTGTGAATCTGCTGTGTTTGGACTTTGAGCTGTGGACTCTTGGCCTTGGGTGTTAACTTGCAAGGTAAGCTTTCGTATCCTCGGTTTAGCCATGTTGTGGTTCCACCATGTCCCATGGGGGTGTGGTTGTATGCATGCTGTGTTACATGGTTTGAATATTTGAAATGTTGTTGAGCTTTATGTGTAATGGCTTTTAATATGCATGTGTTGTTCCATCTTGACGGTAAATCTGAGTATGTAGCGTCATACAAGACGGTGATCCGGGGTGGATGTAAGTAGCGTCTTGCACTATTTGTGGGTATTAGACGTATATAAATCCTGCATTTCTCTGGCCAGTAGAATAGAATTGACACATATTGACATGATTATCTGCTGCATTGCACTATTTTAGAACTGATGATGATATCTGCTTTTAAACTTATATTGCACATGTAAGTGAGCTTGAGGTGGAAGATCCTTGAGGACCCCTTGTCTTACTGAGATTTCTTGTTTAGAGATCTCACCCCATGTTTGGGGAATGCTTATTTCAGGTTCCGATAGTTTGGTGACTGATGCCTCTGGCGGCAGGAGGCCAGAGCTTAGTTGATGATATTATGCTGTTTTGCTGCCATGACTGAATATGGATGCTGTTTATGGTTTCCGTTATTTTTGTTTATGTTGTTGTTGAGACTGATGTTGGGCGTGTTGCCTTATTTGAGTGAGCATGGGGATTGTCCATGACACTTTATGTTAGTACCTTTAGATTGGAGTTGTATAAACTGTTAGATGGTCCGGTCTACGTTGTTGTAGTTCCGTGACTAGAACCACACTTTTATTATCTATGTTATGAGGTATTTCAGTTAGCTGTTTTATTGCAATTACATACAGGCGATGTTTTATTAATTGATTAATAAGCAAGTTGGTAATGATAATGACATCATAATTGAAAAGAAAAAGATATTCCGCATTTTTTTTTATTAAGCGCTGCTTAATACGATAGTATGATAACATTACCGGATATATACGGGGTGTTACAACGTCGTATTGGCTTACTGTAGATAACTTATTTGCAGTAACTGCAGAAAAAATGAACCCTACTTTTATATATATCCAAGTCCACCGGTCCAACCAGTTATCCACCGGTCCAACCAGTGACCCAATACCCCGACCGGGTCAATGTCCGGGTCGAGTTTAACAAAACTGGTTAAAGAGAAGGAATTTATTTACAACTTAAAAGTTTTATAATTTTTTATTATTAAATTATAATTATTGACTTCTATTAATCTAATCGTTATGATTTATTGGGTCAAATTTATTAATTTTCAATAAATCATAATCGTTAGATTGATGAAAATCAATTGGTAATATTTAAAGGTAAGAGATTGTAAAACTTTTAGGTTGTAAGTATATCCTCCCTCATAGTTATAATATTAAGATTATCTTTTTTTTTCAACTAAAAAACTTATCGATTGACATAAAAAAAAAGAAAAATAACTTTAAAATTATAATTATATATTTAAAATATATATGTTTTAGAATATATAATTATAATAATATTGTCGCGTGCCTGGTTGCACTAAAAATGCTTTCCACATTTAGGCAAGAGTTAACTTTTGGGAGATTGTAATTTGTTTTGTGCAACATCTATGCTTTTCAAAAAAGGGAAAAATGTTTGTCTTTTTAAATGACACAACTTATATTTTTTCACTCTCATAAAGAGGTGAGACTTACACCTTTATATTTTTCTGTCCACTCTCTCTCCTCCTTTATCTATCTCTTTCTCTCACTTAAAATGACACAACTTTACATCCTTTAAAATGATATATAGTTTTCCCTTCAAAAAAAATAAAAATACAATATTTCTTGAAATCATTATAGAAGATTGTTATGAGTATGTCTCAACTTCATTTATGGGGATGTGAATATTAATTAATTATTTTTTTTATCCTGATCTTTTTTTTTTTTTGTATATAAAGGAAAGAAAAATTACACAGCTACGTATCTAGGCATCAATGTGCCTCTATTATCCTCTAGGAATAGCTCACAACCAACAGGAACGCTGCTATACCAGTGTGTGCTCCAATTAGCATGGCTTCCAATAGTGGCCATCCTATCAGCCACCTGATTTCCTTCTCTATATACATGAGTTGTAACTACCTTCCATTCCTTAGCTATCATCAAGCAGATCCTGGACACCAAAGAATAACAGGGATGAGAGGATACACAGCCCTCACTCACAATATTCAAAGCCAACATCGAATCACTTTCCAGCAACACCTGTTTAAATCCATGCTCCCAAGCCCAATCCAAACCAACCAAGATACCCCACAATTCAGCCATCAATATAGAAACAGGACTTACCCTCTTAGAGAAGCCCATAATCCATCCCCCTTCCTCATCTCTAACAACACCACCACAAGATGAGCTGCCTCCATTACCTGAGAATGACCCATCAGTATTAATTTTGATCCACCCAACAGGGGGTGGCCTCCAACAGATCATGATCTTATCGTGACTGTCAACAGACATACCTGCAATAGTTAAGATGCTTTCAGCCACTTTTATATATGACACAAACAAAGAGGCTTGTGAAAAGATCTCGTGGGGGAATGAA